GGCTTCGCCCCACCAAAAATGTAAGATGACGTAATCCTTGAATGAACTACATCAATGGGGGGTGGGGGGGATGATTCGCTGCTTGCATAGGTGGAAGAGAGCACTTTGAGCCATGTAAATTTCTCGGTGTTTGTCGTTCCTGGTGGGAACGCTAGCCTCACATACTTATTTCTTAGGGCTATAGGACTCGGAGACCTTTCACCTGGGACACGAGACCTTCCCCAGGTGGGTTGTGGGGCGCCCCAAGGAGTCCTCCAGCGGATCTAGATCCCTTTTTCTGTGCACTTGTCTCTCTTAAATGCTTCCTTTATTTATGCTTCGCTTTTTTTTTGCTTTGTATAGGTTCCCGTCATTTCCTGGTTGTTCGGGGACAAAGCGGGGATAGTTCACTCCAGAAAGGAGCGAGGAAGCATCATTATGATCCAAGAAGTCATCTTCTTGCACGCGGCCAAGCAAGTCGCCTGGCAGCGGAGAGGACCTGCATGCTCACCGACTCCTTCCGAGAGGTTGACATGTCTTCAAATACTGTACCTGATTTTTTACCTGATTTACCCCGAGGGCCGCTAACCCTAGTGACCTCGACGAGGACAGGAAACCGGCGGCTTGTCGAAGATTCGCCCCCCCCTCTCCATTTGCCTCGATGACCTTTTCCAGGTATATTTTGAAATTTCCAGGTATATTTTATATAAAACATAAATACATAAACAAAAGTAATAAATACAAAACAAAAGTAATTTGAAAATACATTAACAAAAGTCGAATCTTTGCGCTTCTCAACTTTAGAAGCAGTTTTTTTATTATATTACTTTCTACCACAGACGTGGCCACACATTTACAATGCTAATCAGCATATAAACATTTTCTTCTGTCCTCCGTGGACAGAGTTAGAGATGTGTTAAACATATAGTTCAGGGGTTAATTAAACAATCAACCACAGAAGGTGATTCGGTGCACTTACACTGTCAGCGTTCTTAATATCTGGTGGTATAGAGGCGGGTGCCAGGACGAAACCAGAGGCACTGTACTCAACACGTTCTCAAGCATAACAAAAGTTTTAACACTACTTTCCACCTGTAAACTGATGGCTTTCCGGCATTCTCTTTGGACACGAGCCGTCACTACCACTTGACGACACTCACTTTGCTGCCACTTGCTGAAGTTCTACAGCTTTAAGCGAAAAATAATTGTGAAGGAGACGAGGTGGGACATGATGGTGACGTTAACAAAGATTTCTCAATCATCGGTACCTTTGTTTATACCTTAATTTTATCATCAATGGTAGTAGAAGTGTATGAATTATACCATTCAGAAATACGGTATTTGAAGTGCATGTGTAAAATTTCATTGATTATTTTTCCTTTTAAAACTTTGCGGTTTAACATCATTTATGGTGCATGAACTGAGTGAGGATGACAACATGTCTTGATGCACAAATCAATAACTGACGCTCTCCCCACTAGCTGACGAGGCTGTCGTCTGTTAAGCTGATGACATTTGTATTGTTGCAAATAACCAAACTCGATTGCAAGTTTGACTTGATTCACTTGCTGCTAAAAGCATTCAGCGCGGTTTTATTGTATTTATAACAAAATCCAGGGTTCTTCATCCCCATAAAAGAACAGATGTCTGTCTCATTTTTAGTCAACAACCAAAACATTGAAACCTGCGGGTAGTACAAATACCTTTGAGTAGGTATCAACAATGACTTTATAAGCGACTTGCATCATAGGTCTGACCTAGGGTCAGCCCTATGATGCACGTCAGATGCATGGTCGGCCTGGTCAGAGACCGGGCCGTGGGGACGTCGATCCCCCGAAATCAACGCAATGCAGGTTCAAGGAAAGGAATCACTGAAATCACTTTCTGGTAATGTTGGCATCAGTGTTAATATGCTTGACTATTTTACATGATGTTTATTAGATCCATATAGATTATCATGCCGTGCACTTAATTTCTCTACCTCTATTTTGAACAAACTATAATTAATAGAAAATGAAGCCATGAGGGTGATCTTTGGTGCCCCAAGATGCACAAGAATCATCAACATGATGGAAGAAATCAAGCTTCTCACCATACTAGAGATAATCATACAAATCAGCACAACATTCTCCATTGACGTCATGAGAGACATCTCAAACATGGCTCAGACAAATTATAATGTTCCCTTAATACTCTAATGATTGGCGCTAATATACCAATTCATTCCTTTTTATGATAATTGGTTGAGTAAAAATGCCTACTAGTTCCACAATCTGAACTATATTTTAAGTATAATCTGTCACTGCAGGTATCCCTCGTTATCTGTACCCAACCATTCAAGTGTCATGCATACCCATCGCCAAGAATGGCAATGAGAAACTTGCTATTCAAAATGCTGTCATACCTGAAATAATTGTCTCGCTTGCAGGAAAGAAAACATTGATTATGACTTTGGACTATCTAATGCAATTATTAGAAACATACAGATTAAAGAAATTAATTCAGATTTAGAAGAACTAAGAAATGCCCAGAGACCTGAAAGCTGCAGTATTAAAAGTTATGACAAGTTTTGTAATAATAAGTATTTGTATGGTCAGCACAGTAACCGTACCAGGCAATGTGATGTAGTCATTGCGAGAATTCGCCTTGGCTATAGACACATCTGGCAGGTTAGTGAGGCTGAGCCACTACCAGAATACTCAGATTGTAAACTCTGTGATAAAACTTTAATGCATTCACTAGAACACTATATTGATGAATGTGAAACCGTAAAGGACTTTAGACCTCCTAGCCTCTTGTACCACCACCTGTGTAACTATTTTATTATCTTAGGTGTTCTGGACGACATCCTAACAATTTATCCAAAATTTGCTTGTCCATTTTAAAGAATGAAGAACAATTTTTATTTATATTACTTCTAAGCTGCATCACTTATGAACCCATCCCTGCCCTTGTGTGGCAGTGCACAATAGAAAGTTGTTTTCACATATCGATACATTAAAACATTGATTGTAACTATGATATATATGTGCTTCAGCCAACAGTTTAGACCTTTTATCTTGTGTATGACCCTCTGTCCTGCGTGACAGTGAATACCAGCATTATCCTCACTTTAACAAGACTTAATCGAAATCCTCAGATTAGGCAAAATTGTAATTAATTTTGTCAATAAAGATGTTAATAATAATAATAATTCTATCACAAATCTGAAACCACGAGCATTTGCTCAGTCCAATCGTTAGCATAACGCACTGGAGCAGCATGTATAGGCTTTACAGCAATAATATTAGTACACAGACTAAGTGTCAGGCTAAACTGTAACTGTATTAGCTGCACTACTAGCAGTTTTTTAGCTACTAGCTAAAAACACTGGAGAAGACGTTATTTTCTATAATTCAAAATCTGCAGCTCTTCAAACATTGAAAACTTCTTTGGCAAGACAGGCAACAAAAATCTCATAGTAGAAATTATGAATAACTTTATGCACAGAATAAGGGGTTAGAATATCTTTTGTATGGATTTCATCTCGCATAAATATAACTCATCATGATGACAGACATACCAGCTAAATTAACATACAACAATGATGATGAACTACACCTAGGTATCCTCATCTCTGTTATTAACACAATATTGCTCTAAACATTCAGGTTTAGTTGGAAAGAAATCACACTCTCAAAGGCCCGATAGCACCCATGTAAAAAGTTAGGCTTCAGATCTAAACCAAACATATATGTATGGGCATCAAAAAACGTCCGCCAGACAGTGTGACTTAATGGTTGCCAGGATAAGGTTGGGCTGGCTACTGTTACCTGTGGTAGGATGCTACAAGGAACGAATCTGTATAATCCATGAATCTATGTAAACAAGGACGAATCCATGTATAAACTCTGTGAGCAAGAATTTGGTCATGCTCTTACATTCTACATTGAGTGTCCAGTCTTTAGACCTTCAGACCTTTCTGTAAGAAGTACCCGTAGCTTTGTAATTTTTTTTTTCACTATCGTGTTCCAGAGGATATCCTAATACTGCAGCCATAGATCACATACTCCTGTATAACTAACAATCCTTCGAGATGATTTCCTAGCATTTCACAGCTAGCTCTTGACACACTATGTAACACCTCATATAGTCTAGGGTAACTGCCTATGTACCTAATTATAGTGATAACAAATTATACTTTAATTTAGTCTTCTATAAGTTGGTTGTTAGGACATTTCTGCTTTTAATATCTTTTGAAAAGGTTTTATTTTTCTTAGTCTTTTAATTAATATTGATTTTTATAAATCTATGAACCCTTTGATTTAGATTTGTAGATAATCATTTCACTGGATACTTTTTTTCTGTTATATGGAATATCTAACGGATGTGATGGAATATCCCCAGAAACTTTGGAAAATTTATGCAGACGAGTCTTCTTTTGTGCTACTGTTCCTGTCTTTCATTATACAAATATATGTCAGATATATACCGTTTCAATGTAATTTTAATGACTACTTTTTTAGGGGGATAGGACCCTATAGTGAAAAGGAAGATTCTGGTTTAGATGTAATATGAAAATAATGTTTTTTTTTTGGTGATGGTTTAGATAACTGCGTGGTCGGGTGTGAGCAGTTTGTAATGGCTGTTGTTAAAGATTCGTTACCTGGAATAAAAAGTTCCAAGTAGCACGGGCTATGGTGAGCCCGTAGTGCCTTTTGTAATGGCATTACTTGCCGCCAGCTCTGGCCGCTGTGATGAACACTCACCATCGATCTCCCAATCCCAGTAACCTACGCTTGCCAGACGCACGCCAACGTCAGAATCGAAATTTTCAACAGATTTGTATTCCGCGTTAGGTTGTGACTCTCCCAGAGGCTAGTTTCCCAAAACCTTTAAGTTGTGGTGCATAATGCTTTGGTAAATTGTGTGAAAAAGTGTGTTATAAATGCACGGACATCAGTTTTCAGTACGAGAACGTGGGTCGCCGAAGGTGAGACGCGCAGAGTCTCCAGCAGTTGGCTGGTGACGTTAACGGGCGACCAAGTTGGGGAGCAATAATCTTCCTTAACTTAAAAAAAAGTAATTGCGTTGTAACCAGTAAAACCTTCAACCAACATTCTCTAGTGTCAAAACTGACTCGTAAACTAAAGTGGTAAGGAAGAAACGAACGCATGTTTGGCGTGCGGGAGTGAGTTTGCGTGTGGCAGGGGCTGGCGAGACTCTACAGGTGGGGGTGGAAGCAACATGTGAGCGCTCCTGCACAAGGCTCCCCTAGCTATCTCCATCCACCCATCCTCGTCCTTCCAGGACAACAACATTCCCTCCCACACCTCGTCTCCTGTGGCCATCAGGCATCAACACTACCACAGGACGAAGGGAATCCGACGGCACAGTTCCCTGGTAATTTCCAAGACTACAGTTGCCTTATTTACTTCCTAAGCTACAGCTTCCCTCTTAATTCCCAAAGGTTACATAATTCCACATAAACTTCCTAGGCTACAGCTTCTCTGTTAACTTTCTAGGTTTGTTTTGAACAAGTTCGAATGGAAAGTTTTCTTGTATGAGCTAAGCCAAGGTTGGGAATCTGCGACGGGCCATTTCTGGGTCATAGATTTAACCATAATAACGATGTAGTGGATTTTTTCAACGGCCAAATGATGAGTTGAAAGCTGTAACGTGTGTGTTAAAGCCATTAAAGCCTCTTGTGTGACATAATGTTCATATATACCTCTGCTGGAAATCTATGAGATAACTAAATTTCGAAGAAATACTTAGGCTGTGACTCTGAGAACGGTGGGTTAATCCAGTAGAGCATCAAGAAGTGTGCTCGAATGAGAACAAAAGACACAGGAGATATTAAGACAAGGACTAAATGAAACAAAACATTAGAATGCACACAAAGGGAAACCTAAAACTACTCAAAGTGGTAAAAGTGATTAAAAACTAGTACAGAAACCAAACTTCTCCAAAAAGACGACTTGTCAACCCACTCTTGAAGAAATACGTTGATTACACAATAAAAGCAGAGAATAGACTATGAATAGTGAGAAATAACGTGTAGCTGTATGTAAAGAAATCAACTGCACAGAGAATATATATTGCTTAACTGCACAGGAGAAAAGACAAAGCCTTTAATTTATACTTCGGATGAAGGAGATAGTTTAAATTGATCACAGCTAAAACTGAAGCAAAAAGTGAAACTGCACTCATAGACCGACAAAAGATGGACTCCATATGGAGGAGTGTGCTGACAGATTAAGGTAATTAAACTGCCCGCAAAGCACGCTATCTGAAATGAACCTTGAGAAATAATGAGATTATATTTGCGCTCGTAAGATAATGAATATGTGCGCATTATAAATAAAGAGCAACAAAAAACTGCCGGCATTTGATGCGTAGTAAAATAACCATGGCCAGAAATTTAGTAAACTTCTTGAGTATTTTATATTTCATATGTGCAACACAGTAGAGTCGAACCCTTGTATTTACACACATATGCTAGGTCGCCTCTGGTGGATGCATGCGCTTAAATGGTCAGGGAAAGTCCTTCGTTGATACAATGGGACTAAAATAGGCACTTTTATTTTCCCTTTGTTAAGCAGAAGGTTGATGTCAGCGGTGTAAGAACAGTGAGTGATTTTGGATACCACACTTAGCTTTTATGATGACCAAACCACACGCCAGAAGACGAAGAAACGACGACGTTTCTGTCCGTTCAGGACCATTATCAAGTCAGACCACTGGAACATTATCTAACACAGTGCACAGTTACAAACCCATTAAGATTTAAACTTAGATTCAACAGAGCAGAAGAAGTTGTTAAACACATATGGCAAAATCTTACTGAAGTGACCATACAGGTCATAAATACTCATACTTCGCTCAAGTAAAACAGAAACAAGCAACACTTAGTGGGCCAGCCAGAGGCTTAGGGCCCGCGCTGGAATATCCCTGCAAAAAAAAAGGTTAGGTTTGATCTTATTAGCAACATAAAAACAAAACCGTTTCCGGTTTGTCCAAATTCAATAGTACGAAATTCTGCTTTCTAATTGTCTATTACGTCAATATATGTACGATGGTCCACATCGTTACTCTATCTATCTAAGTACTATCTAAGCAGGAGGATGGGCTGCAATTGCAACACCATGCCCAGTATTCGAACCAAAGTTATCCTATTAAAGAAGCGAGTGTGTTTACCACTGAACCATGTCGTATGTATCCTTTATCCGAATATGATGAAATATTAAAATTACCTGTTATTTGTAGCCCAAACCGTTTTTTTTTATTAAGCTTAGGTATACACAGCAATGTGCTGCTACCCTATTCTGTATGAAAGATTACACAGTGTAGATAAAAAACCAACTACAAGCTCGTACAACATCCTCACCTCACAGGACAGCCAGTCATACATGAAATCAGGAGAGAACGTGAAATGTAAGACTGATCTATTAGCCTCCACTAGCAAAATCTGTGCATGCGCAAGAATATCTTCCAATATTCCTGAGTGTATGAAGTAATTACAGAGCTCTAAGTACATCATACCATTTGGTCTGAAATCACTGGGAACAGGGCAATCACAGATATAGTGTTGGAGAGAATGTCCCAGCTCTTGTTAACATAGTTTACAATTGGAATGTTCACCATTGGGGAAGTCATTACCTGCAGCCACCTACCATAGATAGCGATATCCCAGCCTAATTCTGGCTATTACAGTATCACACTGTCTAGTGGATGTTTTATGCTTCCCGTACGTATAATTCTCGGTTCTAAACATGTCATAGCTCTTTATACTCGTGCTTTCTGGTCTTCGAGTGTCAGTAACTGCTCTTCAGTCTTCCCTAATTTCTTGAAATATTGCGGTTTTAAAGCAGCGATTGGAATGCCCATATCCAACTCAATTTCAGGCTTATCACATGCAGTTTTAGCTACCTTGTCTGTGTCTCATGCTAGACAACACATATGTGAGATGGTATGTTGTTGTTTTAGATTCAGCTACTCGAAACAAAAAGTTGCAAGTAGCACAGGCTATGGTGAGCCCATAGTGAACTTACCTGGAACAGGAGTGGGGCTGTAACTGGGAGAGAGAGATGGTATCAATACTGACGCTTCCTCGAGCTAATAATAATAATAATAATAATAATAAGCACGGGCCGCAGCCAGCCCATCCTCCTCCTTAAATAGTACTTATAGTAACGATGTGGACCATCGTACATATATTAAGTACTATTTAAATAGGAGGATGAGCTGCCTGCGGCCCGTGTATATTAGCCCGAGGAAGCGTCAGTATTACCGTGCTTCTAATTTACACGAAATCGCAGGGAATTCGAGATGTTACGAGAAGGTTTTGACGCCTTCAGGCCGAGCCAATCTACTTATAAGAATTTGGGATACAAATAACAGGTCTTTTTAATATTTCATCATATTAGGATAAAGGATACATACGACATGGTGCAGTGGTAAACACACTCGCCTCTTTAATAGGATAACTTTGGTTCGAATACTGGGCATGGTGTTGCAATTGCAGCCCATCCTCCTGGTTAGATAGTACTTAGAGTAACGATATGGACCATCGTACATATATTGACGTAATGGACAGTTAGTAAGTAGAATTTGGTACTATTGAAATTGGACAAACCGGAAATAGTTATATATTTATGTTGCTAATAAAAATCTAACCTAACCATCCTCGGCCTAATACACAGTATCTGAGGCCTAATATAGTACATTTATGTGCTATCCTAGGCCTTGGAATATTTAAGTTGATTTTAGCTCTATTTTTTCCGGACTATAAAGTGAATAGTACCTAATTCTAATATATATAATTGTCCATTACGTCAATATATGCACGATTGTCCACACAGTTACAAAGAGTGCTGTCTAGACGGGAGGATGGGTTGCCGTGGTGGGTTGTATGGGTTCTGAAGTTTCTGGTTGGCAAAAATCACTAAATCTGAAGCTTGTTAAAGGATAAGAACCGGTTGGCCTTAGAGCGTGCGGTAATATTATAATCGGCTACTTAGTACTAGCAGTTGACAAAATTGGGTTGATTGAGCACAAACGCCAACCAAAACTGATATTTCGCGAGAAGGTAAGTTATGAATGTAGTATGAAGCCACAAGTACACAGTTACAATATCTTACCCAGGAATAACATAATAATATCCAAAACTCTATTTAAAATGACCAGTTGGTAAGAACAATTATGTTGACTTCTGCTTACCATGATGTTTGTTGAATGTATCTTGAGCTAGTTTGTCAATACCTTTAATTGAAACTCTGAGTGTTAGAATAACTTTCATCATTTATTCAAATTCTTAAATAAGCAAGTAATTTTATCAGATATTTATATACCCGATAACATGCACGAACCTATCGACTGAGCTGAATGTTAATAAGCCATATGTACTAGAATTTTAGAAATCTGTACTTAAGGAAAAAAAATGTATTTTATGATTTCAAGTATTGATTATCCTCAGATATATATACCCAGCAAGAAATCGAGCATCTGGCAGTCCTCAACATCAAAAGGATTCTGGGATAAGAATTTAGAATTTACATGTAATCCTGATGGATGCATTGAAGAGTAGTGGGAGGATTGAGAGGGAGAGAAAGGAGCGAGGAGGGGGAGAGAGGAGCGAGAGTAGCTTTAATGTTGTGCGTGTATTGATCTAAACTCCATGTTGAAAACTGGATAGTTATGGTGCTTGTCACAGACTGTTCAGTGTGGGTGTGTTAAAATTGATATTTAATGTATGAGCGAGTTAGTGAGTGATGACTATAGTATGTCACAACTTATATATAAACAACACCATAAAGGTTAGTGAGACCAAGTTTTGCAACTCCGTAAACAAACTACTGATACTTTACCATCTTTGCCTGATATAACGAGACAAACGATGCAATATGCTATTTATATTCTTATTTTATGAGAAGCGAATACTAAACGCTGCTCTATTTTCTGACTATTAGATTAGCCCATAATGTGTTAAACCTCCAACCAAAAACCGCTGTAACATCTGCATGGTAGCCTAAATCAAGGAAAAAATAGTATTTTACGATGAAAGCGTCTATAAATAATTTTTATTAATTATTGTAAATTCTACACTGGTGTTTATCTTGCTGGAGTTATGTTCCTGCTGACTGGCGCGTCAATCAGCTAGCTGGCTTTGCTAACAGTAAAAAACAGTATTGGAACGAAATATATGTAACATGTTGCTAGAGTTGCCACCAACATTTATAATGACTAGAATTACAGTACTCGCTAATTAGGACATTAGCTGAACTGTATTACAGTAAGCTATAATTAATAATTACTAAATATTCACATATGAGTACATAAATCTAAATACTTGCTAAGGTATTGGCAGTGACAGAATGCAGTCTTCTTAAGGCTAAGCTTTT